GCCCACCTCCCTGGAAACAACCCAGGTACCGACAATAAGCAGGTTTTGCTCCAAACATCTTTTGATAGGACCCTTTGACAGTTCCCAGGCTCAACTACCAAAGGCTCAACTGACAGTTTTAGAGGACCTACATGAGCTGCAAGGTCTCATGAGGCTTGACACTGACCTTCCTCTTCTTGGCATGCCAGAACCTGGATCGAATCTTCGCTATTCTAATGATTCAGACTAATTAAACAAAACCAAAACCACGGAAGCAGAACAATGACCAGCATTCCAAAATGAAGGGCCTGAGTTACTTGATGATACTAACCTCTTTTACTTTATTTCCCTAAGTTACATTCAGATACACATTTCTCTTCAAACAGCAATAATGAGAAGCACTCTCCATTCACTTTTGGAAGAGGGCTTTTTGTTGTTTTAAGTGCAGTGCACCAAACTTACGGCGTCACTTTGAGGCTGTGAGATCACAACAGGCTGTCCTGAATCACATGTCTCCCGTATATTAACATGCAGTGGAATGTCTCCTGTATCAAAAATACCAAGATACACATATGTGAAGACCTAATATTTCTTAAATATTTCATTAAAATAGCCCTAAAGCAACTTGAAATCAAATTCCAGTTCAGTATATTCTTTGAATTACTTAATCTCAAAAAAATAGCATTTAAAATGAAAATTGGCTGCAGTACAGTTTCTGTACAACCATAATGATTAACACCAAACATATTCTGGATTTTTCATTCTCTGAATAGGAAGCACTGTGCTTTGTAGTCATTTATTAGAGAAGGCAATTTGCTTTTTTGCCTTGAATACACAGAAAAACACAGGCTGAGATACAAATTATTTTGCATACATAAAAAAAATTGCTTGAGTGTTAGGCAATGCTCATCATGCAACTTACTGTTCAGCCTATCTCCTCATTGTATATTCTTTTCAGTGCTGTCTTAAGATTTTAATCACTGTTCAAAGACTTCTTTGAATACTTAATTTCCAAATAATAGATTTTGTTATTGTCCTTATTAGGCCTTGGATCCAATTAAAAGGTAGACAACTATTCAGTTCATTCTTCTTTCCAATAGAAATCTTTATATTCTGCTTTTATAATGAGCAGGGAACTGTCAGTGAGGAAAGGAACGTTCTAAAGGAAAATCAATTAGCAGCCCTATTCCAATCTAAACATACTTTCTGAAATACAGTTTTTCAGCACTAAAGAAAACTTGAAGTTCCCATGTTTAGTTCATTGCTACACAGATAATTATGAAGTGAATTGAAGACCAGCTTTCGTTTAATGGAAGATACCGTTACATGTTATATCATGCATGGATGTAGACAGAACGGCCTATCTTCATTCAATCTTGACTGGTCTCAGAAACTGTATCAGTTTAATTCATACACTTTAGCAACATTTCTTTCACCCAAACCAAGGCCAGTGTAAATTACTGAAGTTCAACGTAGTCAGAAAAAGAAACATTAAAAAAACTGTATGAAAATTGATACAGCTTAAGAGATAAAAAAAAGAACCAAAACCAGGCAGACAGGAATGCAAACAAAAAACCAAACAAATAGCAAACACAAAAGCTGTGGCTCCATGATTAGTGAGCTGAATCTTTGAAGAACTTCAATTTGTTATTTATGATGATTACAGTCCATTTCCTTCAAATTTAATTGTTTCTTATTTGTTTCAGTCATGAATAAATTTCTTGAGGCATAAAAGTCTGTTCATTTATTCATAAAAAAAATATTTAGGGGGTCTTTTAAAAGTTTTTTTAACCTTAAACTTTCTTAATAGAATAACAATAACTTCGTAAATCTCCCAGAACCAGAAGTTAGTTCCTACCATTACTTTATGCAGAGACTAATCTTCACTTTTTTCCCAAAGATGTTTTGTTAATGAAAAAAATACTTCTTCATTATCAGCTTAATAACGATCTCACAGAATTACAAAAAGAACTCCCCTACTACAAAATGGCAGACTCTCTCTTCTCTTCCTCATACTTACAAAGATGTGCTGATACTACAGGAGCATAACAGGACTTGTATAAGCAAAAGTGCAAGTCAGAAGACAAAGCAAAATGCAATCTTGATTAAAAAAAAAATCAAAACCTTTTAAATTAAGCAGAAACATAAAGACAGCAAAAGCATCTGCATAGCTGTTTGGGTGATAAGGGTTTGAGGAAGATTAAGTTTTTGCACTATTCTTCACTAAAGAATGTGATGGGAACTTGCCATCGTACATTTTTCTGATACTAACAATTATCGCTGGCTGCAAAGAAAGGGTAAGTGCTGAGAATAATTTGAATTTATTGTAGGAAGTAAAAACAAAAAGAATTTTAAAAATCTGAGAGTCATTGTTGCTGGTTCTATTAGCAGATACAGTTTTAAAAGTTAGGAAGTGCAAAGGTCAGAATGGAGTGTATAGAAATTATTATCTTAGTATTATGTATATCAATGGTATAGCTTTCTGGTCACAGTTATGGTCATCAAGCTTCAAAAAAAAGAAAGCAGAATAGGTGAATTTCAGTGACTGGGAGAGAAACAATCAGCGGCACAAAGTCCTCACAAACTTTGGCACACTTTCCTTTAGGGAACAATAAATAGATGAGACAGTCAAAAGTATATGAAATAATGAACTACACTCAAAGGTGTACTGGCAACTGCTAATTGTCTTCTGTCGTAAACAAAAATATTCAGTAGTATTAAAGGCAGCCTATTCTGATCAAATAAAAGGAAAATACTTTTCTATCCCGTACATGGTTAGCTTGCAGAATTTGTCAGATGTTATCATGGAAACTAAAACCTTGTCAGGCTTCACAAGAGGACTAGGTCCTTAGTTGAATAAACAGAACAGCCACAGGTGTTGCAAAATATAAGCAAAATAAATTTAGAAATACTAATTTCAAATATATACATTTTAGAGAGAGAGAGAGATAAAAAATAAGTTCTCAAGGTTTTTGGGCAGAATTCAAATAACATTGGGATAAAACTTCCATTTGGGATAGATTAATGTAAAATCTGTAAGCAGTAATTCTTATAATACCATATGGTGGTATTATATAATGGTCATCCCTGGAAGGAGGGATATACTAATCAGATCAAGTACTGTAATTCTAAATTTAACCCTTGGGGCATTATTCTTAATCTTAGTCTGGTCTTTCACTGACAGTTTGAAAGTAAACTTCACTCTGTTTTTCTTCATACATGTCACCCATCCCCTGCTAAACCTGTAAACCTCTCACATCACTCCTAATTAAATACAATCACAATCAGTTCTGCCCTCTTAGGAATAACAAAAACCATCTATAGGATCAGTGGCACGGCAGATCATTTGTGCCTGTGTATCTAAATTTTGATTCAACTGCCTGCAGAGGATTTGCATCCATCCACATAACCCAGGGCTGTAGAAGTCCCCCTGGGCTCTGATCACAACTCATTATATATTCAGAAAACTAAAAGATAGCCCAAAAGCATCTCTTTAATTATGTGTTGCCTTGCTATCTTAAGTTTATGTCAGACCTTGATGTTTCTGTGTTGATCTTTCTAAGTGAGCTTCCTGGTTCTTTTTAATGAATTAGCTAAGGAAAATCATTGAGATAATTATAGTAATACATGGAAACACATCATTAGCACATGCAATTATCCCATTTACCAACTTAATTATGCTGTGTTATATTCTGTAATTTATTTTTTTTTTTAATGACAGCACAGGTTGAAATATGCCTTTTTAAAATAGCAATGTATATTTTAAACATCAATGTATATTTTATCTTATAGGCATGCCAGATTGTTTAATCATGGCTAATTTTTGTTTTCAATAATGATAAATTTTCTTTTGAAACAACATTTTGCAATTCAGTGTATTCTTTTAATCTCAACACTTAAATACAATCATTACAGTCTGCTTGCTTCCATACAAGAGTCAAGATATCTTCATATGGGCATAAAAACAAATGCTTTAAGGGACTGCATTTCAAATTACCATATTTATTTCAATGTGTAACAACTCATTTCATTTAAATGAAATAAATGAGAAAACTTCTACTGACATATTAATGACAGAGTTTAGGTCTGTTTTACAAGACCAAATAGAATTCTTGGTTATTTGTGAAAATTGTTGTATGATCAATAACATAATGAATTTCAGGTAATATAGCACAACGATATCAAAACAATTCATGTTCTGGATTGTTTATAAGTCAAAAGAGATTTAAGATGCAATTCAAGAATTTTCACATCCAGTCCACATCCCGTTTACAAGAATGATCCTGAGAAGGAACAGAGCATACAAAAATTGTGACATTCAGCTACTTAAGTTATTAGTTCTATTATATCTGAACACTGTCTGAATATAGAGTAATCTAGGATTGTGCAGTTCCATACTTCAGTTAATGCTTCCCTCACACACGCCATTGAATATTTCTTCAAAAATAAACCCATTTCTATATCCTTACCTAAAATATCCAATCCAAGGGTCTTTGCTAGATCTCTTACACCGTCAGCTCCAAAAATGTGTGTCTCATGCTTGCATTTGGGACACTGGAAAACACTCATATTTTGAACCAGTCCTAAAACCTGTTGAAGTAAAAGAAAGGAATTTTCAAACCTGGGATTCAAGCATCAGTATTTCCATTATTCATCTCTGACAATAAAGAAGAGATTATCAACAAAGAATCTACAAGGAGTACTCATTTATAATGGGAAGTAGCAGTAATATCAGACTCATTAACACCATTATCAACTCTTACTAGTTGTCTCAGTTGCATTATCATTTGTGCATTATTTCAAGTTTTTCAGAGAGATCAACAAACTTATTTGTAACAAAAAGTACCCCTTGTACAGGCCTATCTTTTCAAGAACTCTCCCTGCCAGTATTTCATTTTCGAACTCTGAAAACTGGAAGAATGTTCATGTTGTGTTTTATAGCTTTGTAATTTGCAGTTTCAGGAAACAAAATAAAAACATACCATTACAAGAAATGACACAATCAGACATGCTTTTAAGACATTTTTGTAAATT